GTTCAGAGGACTCTTTGGGAGCAGTGCAGGATCCTGCCCAACAGCCAGCATGTTCAGAGGACTCTTTGGGAGCAAAGCAGAATCCTGCCCAACAGCCAGCAGGTTCAGAGGACTCTTTGGGAGCAGAGCAGGATCCTGCCCAACAGCCAGCAAGTTCAGAGGATGTTCTGGGAGCAGTGCAGGATCCTGCCCAACAGCCAGCAGGTTCAGAGGAATCCCTGGTAGCAAAGGTAGATTATCTTGTGCACCTACTGCTTGCATTGCTCCCAAACTTGCCCCTGTAAAGCTGTGCTCATGCCAACCTCCCTTTTTGCTGTCCTGCTGTCATGTGCCCTGAGAGTGGCCTGAGCAGCAGGGCCAGTGGCTGGAAGTGGGGCATCTGGGGAGGGACAAACAGGATAGTTTTGCCCGGAGAAACCCACTCAGATCCTACAGATCTATCCTGAGTTTGGGATTTTTATTTTTTTTTTTGGCTTATTTTCTTTACAATGTAAAATGAGGGTTTTATTTGCATCATGATGAGAAGGCTTTTGGTTTCATTCCTGTACCAAGCTGTGCTGAGTCCTGACCTCCATTTCCCTCTTTCCAGCCCAGCTAGAGCCACCATTTTCACATCCCTGCCTTCACCCAAGAGCCAGTATTGCAGTGATGGCTCCAGAGTTGTCTTTTTTAAGGCAGAACTTCTCTTCCTCCTAGCATGGAAAACGGCCTTTGGTCTGCTGACCTGCCTGGTGAATCTTGGTGCTTTGGAGTGGGAACTGGCCCCATGGCTGCTCATGGGGCAGTAAAAAAGAGTGTAAGGAAGCATGGGAGTTTCTGAAAGCACCAGTGTTGGCCTTAAGTTCAAGGAGAGGAGTTGTACCTGCTCACACCCCAATACTGGTCATTTCAACTCTGCATGTTTTTTCTGAATCAGGAGAAATGATACCCACTAGACACAAAGAATAGTGTGGCTGAGTATTCTCAGACAGAAGCACGAAATCACCTTTATTTCCTGGTTGTTGCCTGTGTATGCACAATTAAACCAGGGAAATTCAAGCGGCTATCCTAGAATCCTGGAATGGTTTGGCTTGGAAGGGCCCTTGGTTTTGCTGGGAAGGGACCTTCAAAGATCCTGTAGTTCCAGTCCTCTTTGCCTGAGTGCTGGGGGTATCCAGTTCCCTCGTGCACACTTGCATGTAGGAAGTACAGACAGAGCCTGTGTCTCATCTGTGGGTGGGCTTGGACCAGCACTCCACTGATAGCACGGACATACCCACACTGGATCTGTGCCCAGGTCCCATCTCAGCTGCTCCTGGTGTGGTGGGGTGGTGGAGCCTGCAGCAGAGTGATCTTGCTCAGACAGTGCTCACTGCAGCCAGTGGTGCTTTTTTTTCCAGGTGCTGCCATCCACTGCTGTGGAGCCTCTGAGCCTGGAGACCATGAAGGGATTGAGGCGATTCATGGGGGTGGAGAACCTTGCCTTGAGAATGGAAGAGGTAAGTGGGAATCTGTCTCATTTCCATCTTTCCAGTGTGGAAAGCAGTTCTGTAGCCCCCACTCCCACTGGCATTGCCCACAGAGGGGCCTCAGTCCTTCCAAGCCCATCACAAAATGCTGCTGGAGCAAGTAGTTGCTGGAGAGGTCACATGGGACATGTCGTAGGGCTGCCCAAGGATGCTCCCTGTGCAGCACCTGGGGAGGGCATTGCTCCCCTTGTACCTCATAGGGTGGTTGACTGGAAACTTTTGCAGGAGCTTTTGCTGTAGCACCTTGAGGGAGCAGCATGTAAACCAGAGAGAGAGGGAAAAGCCTCAGGAGTCAGATGAGCCAAGCTGGAGTCCTCCCCCCAGCTCCAAGGGCTTTCACCTCCAACTCTCCTGTATTTCTGGAGGTAGTAAAATTGTTTTCAAAGGCAAGTTCTGCAGTGGAGAGAATATCTTGCTGCCAGGAGACACCTAATTTACTTTAATGTCATGTATTAATTAATGCATTGATCAGCGAGTATGGAAGAAGATTTCCCCTGTGGTCCCTCCACTGGTCAGTGGCACGGATGCGGGATGAGATTAGGATGATTCTGGCTGTCTTTGAGAAAGAGGCCCCTCCAGTTAGCTCTGTACTTCACTCCAATCCACGGCTGCTCTTCTGCACCCATTTCCATGCTCATCATCTTGATCCCTCCTCCCCTCCTGCAGGTTTTTGATGTCCAGCCGGTGTCCGGTGTGCTGCAGCCGGGCGAGAGCCAGCACGTGCTCTTCACCTTCTTTGGCCACCCCAACATCGTCGCCCGTGTCACGGCGCTGTGCCATGTGGAGGGAGGCCCCACCTACGAGGTGGAGCTGAGGGCGGAGACTTCGGTCCTCATCTACCACCTGAGCGTCAAGGAGATCGACTTTGGGCTGCAGGTACCACCCCCTTCTCCTGGCAGAGCTGCTGCCTTGGAACCATCACCAGTGGGTTGCTGCCCACCTCAGCCCAGGGCTCTCTCCCCTTCCCAGCTCCTTTGTTGGCTCTGGGCCCTGGAAAGGACAGCCTTTGAGGGATACATCCAGCATCCAAGCTGGTTGTTAATGGCCACCTCCACCTCACACGCACACACCCACCACCAATGCTGGGAATTCCTCCTCTTTGAGGGACCTAACACTGCCTCCTGAGGCAGGCAGGATCCCAGTGGGGATGTCCAGAGGGACATATCCCTGAGACATCCCTCCCCTGAACCGTTTCTAAAGCTTGAGCTCCAAGGGGATGCTCTCCTCTAATGCTCTTGCTCAATCTACAAAATAATCCAGGGAGGAAGTTGGGCTTCCAGTCACTGTAGCTGGAGAGAACGTCCCAGAATAATCCTCACTTTACTTCTTTTCAGTTAAAAGCCCACAGATATTTCCAGCTGCTGGCCCTGTCTATGTTGCCCCTGTGTGTCTCTTCCTGTCAATGTATTTGCTTGCCAATACTTGCATGCAGGTGCCTTTTCCTCTGGAATGCCTCAATGCCACCTCCATTGTTTCACCAGGCTGTTTGGTGACCCCTCAGAGTAAAGAGGGCCCTGGTTCATTTATTACTGGCCCTTACATGGTTATTACCACATCTCTGCGTGCTGCCAGAACTCCCTGCTCCTGTGCAGGGCTAAGAGATGTCCTGTGCCTGACCCAGGCTGACCTGGGATGGTCAAGTGCCTGTATCTCCTCCCCAGTCCCTGCTCTTGTGTTGTGGCTGTTTGCTTCCAACCCCATGAAAGAGGAAGGAGATTCCCAGCAGCACACTGGTACCTGTAACTTCCCACTCCTCTGTCCTCTCTCCAGCTGTTTAATGAAGTCATCCAAGCAGAAGTCACCCTGCAGAACACCGGGGAGTTTGGATTCACCTACAAGGTGCTAGACCCCAGCACTGCCAGGGCAGAGAGCCCTCTGCCTGGTGAGCCCGTGGTTGTGCCCAGCACGGTGAGTAGCACAAGTGATCGGCCCCAGCCCTGTGTCAGGTGGCCCAGGAGAGGGTTAAAGGGGAAAAAAAAAGGGGTAAAAAACCAACCAGTCCCAGCCTTGAGAGGCAGGGCTGAAAGCAATTGCTGCTGGGGTTAGAGAAGGTCAAGCAAGTGCTCTCCTAATAGACTCCCCCGTGGCCTTGGCCAGCGGGTGCCAGCAGTGGGAGACACAAGCACATCAGTCACTCCTTGGACCTGGACTGCTGAGCTCTCTGGCTGTGCTGGCACTGGAGCTGGGTGGTGCCAGCTCTTCTGAGGGTCACCTCACCCAGGCTATGTGATCAGACAGGACTTACTCCTTGTCCCTGCTTCCTCCCTGCCAGCACTATGCACCAATTTACATATTCCTTGCTTTGGCTTGAAGCTCCTTTGCCAGAAGTTCTCACAGCCCCTGTGCTGGTCCCTCACTCCCTCCAGTTTTGCTGTTCAGCTCTTTGGGGCAGTGAGGGGGCCAGGGAGGAGAGGGGCTGGAAGGAGAGGAGTTTGCAGCATCCCACCATCCCAGCTTCTCTGTCATGCCTGGATGCCTTTGAGCTTAAGTAGCGTTCCTGCTGACTTTGGCCCTCTTTGGAATAAGAAGTGAAAGCCAAATCGCTTTCTCACTGTTTCCTGCCTGTCTCCTCCAAGGGATGACACGCTGATGCCCCCTTCCTGCCAGCATCCGAAGACACAGCTTAGCATGGCCCTGTGCAGGCAGCTGCTGTAGCAGCACCCCGGGTGCTGGCAGCTTGGCAGGGCTCCCTGGGGCTGCAGCCGTGTTGGGTGCTGGAGTGAGAGCTCAGGGGACTGAGTGGCAGGATCTGTCCCGTTCAGCTGCTTCTCCCAGCAGCAGGAATGGGACTGGGGAGCCGTCCAGCCGAGCGTGCAAGGGTGAGCCAAGGAAAGCTGCAGCTGTGTCCTGTCACCCAGAGGCGTGTTTGCCCTCAACCTGGCTGGTGTGAGCCCAGTCTGGGGCTTGGACAGCGCTTTTGGAAGCCCAGAGAGGAGGTGCCTTCCCAGCATCACCCTCTTCCTTAGATCTCATCCTAGTCTCTCCCCCTGTGCTTCCAGAGATATATGTTTGCAGGTCACTGTGAGTCTGGATATGCTCATGCACCCTCTGTGTAACCACAAAGGCAGGAGGTGTTTTTGTCGGGATCATTAATAAGGGGTCAGGCCCTTTGACACCAGCCTGGAACCACTGATGTGCTGTGACAGGAGCTGCTGGCCCTGCTGAGTGCAGGCAACTTCACTCCTCTTCCAAAATGCCTGGCAAAAGAGCTTTTACCTGTTAAGCCTGGCTCTTGCTGGCAGAGGGCAAACCCCATTAGCAGCAGAGCTGTGCTCACCCTGAACACAGGGCAGGCTCTGCTGGGGGTGCAGCCTTACGAGCCCTCAGAAGGACACACCACACCCTTGCCTTGGAGGCTCGAGCTTTTGGGTACAAGGAAGTTAGAAGGTGATGTGGTGTGACATTTTCTTCCAGATGCCACTCTGTCTTCTCAGCCTGTCTGTTGCCTGAGGCATCCCCCATCAAACCCTCTCTGATGCATTCCTTCCCTCTCTCCTCCCATCCCCTGCAGGATTACATTGCACCTGGCAAGAAGCAAGTGCTGAAAGTCTATTACCTGCCAGGAGTAGTAGGAGTCTTCTGCAGCACTCTCCAGATCCAAGTGGGTCACCTGGAACCAGCAGAAATCTCCCTGAAAGGAGAGGGAACCTTTCTTAGGATCTCTTTGGACCTGCCCTGGATTGTCAAAGGTGAGCACTACCTGTCTGCTCCTAGGAAGGCCTCCTGGTTTTTTCCCCCTTTTTTTCCCCCTGTAGGGAAGCACACACCCATCTCTACCAAGCCTGGAGGTTGCAAGGCTGCCAGACCAACACTCGCCCCTCTGGTTGCTTCCTGAGTCTTGAGCAGAGTAGCCCATGTGGGCTTTGTCCCAGTAACCATCCTGCAGATCTTGCCAGCACATCTGTCAGAGGCCTGGAAAGATGATGGCTAGACAGAAAACCTTGGGAAAACTGTAAGAGAGCCTGGCAGGGCTTTTGGCAGGGTTGAATTTGCATGATATTTCAGGGGATGAGATGCTCCTCTGTGAGGAGGATGATGGCTGAGAGTGAACATGAGGATTTAGAGAGGAGCAGCAGCATCCACTTTCCATAGATGGCTCGAGGGGTTTGTTTCTGGGAGAGGCTAGTGTTGGGGAAGTGGGACTTCCCAGCTTAAATGCACCCACACTTCTATTTGTGTGGGCAATGCACCCACACTTCTATTTGTGGATAATTTTTTTCCTTCAGGAAATGAAATATTTGAGAAGATACTGAAAGAGATAAAAGAAAATCTGCAAGAAGAGAGGCAGAGCGATGAAGCAGATGTTCTGTCAGAGCCTGCATCTGTGGAGCCATCCATGGATGATCCTGGCATCGAGGAGCAGCAGCATCCACTTGCCCCAGGTGACTTGAGGGGTTTGTTTCTGGGAGAGGCCAGTGTTGGGGAAGTGGGACTTCCCACCTTAAATGTGTTTGGCAATGCACCCACGCTTCTATTTGTGGGTAATTTTTTTCCCCTCAGGAAACGAGGAGATACTGAAAGAGACAATAGAAAAAGAGGAAGAAGAGACTCAGATCGATGAAGCAGCTGCTATCGAGGAGGCGTCCAAGGAATCGTCTGAGGAGTCATCTGAGGAGTCATCTGAGGAATCATCTGAGGAGTCATCCACAGAGTCATCCACGGAATTGTCCACAGAGCCACCTGAGGAGCCACCCGAGGAACCATCTGAGGAGCCACCCGAGGAACCATCTGAGGAGCCATCTGAGGAGCCATCTGAGGAGCCATCCGAGGAGCCACCTGAGGAGACATCCAAGGTGCCACCTGAGGAGCCATCCAAGGTGCCATCAGAAAAGCCATCCAAGGTGCCATCAGAAAAGCCATCCAAGGTGCCACCTGAGGAGACATCCAAGGTGCCACCTGAGGAGACATCCAAGGTGCCACCTGAGGAGACATCCAAGGTGCCACCTGAGGAGCCATCCAAGGTGCCACCTGAGGAGACATCCAAGGTGCCATCTGAGAAGCCATCCAAGGTGCCACCTGAGGAGATATCCAAGGTGCCATCTCAGAAGCCATCCAAGGTGCCATCTCAGAAGCCATCCAAGGTGCCATCCGTGGCTGCCTGTGACACTGACTCTGACACTGACAGCGGCATCATGGTAAGAACAGCTGCTGTCCCGATTGGCACATGCCACCCTCCCCATGTGACCTGAGCCCCTTGCACTCCACAGCAGCTTCCTGGTGCCCTGCTGGCACCTGGGACCTCCCTGCCCACATCTGGTCGTGACTATTTGTCAGCTCAGCATTGGCCCAGGGGCTGCCCACCTTTGGTCATGGTCCCTCCTGGAGCTGCACCAGCTTCCTGGCTACTCCAGGGAGAGATCCTGAAGGCCATGCTCAAGGGATGGAGTTGATGGTGCCTTGAAGAAAATGCAGGTCATTGCTGGGGAGTTTGTTGCTCCCAGTCCAAGCCCTGCCAGATTTACAGACCTTAACAGCAGCCTGACACAGCCTGACTGTGCCCTGGGGCTGTGCTGGCAGTGCTCATCTCCAAGAGGCTTGGTTGTGGTTCCCTTTCCAAGAGAGCTTTTATCCAAGCTGCTTTGGCACTGGTTGGGGGCAGGCAAATATCTGGAGCTCTGGAAGGTTCCTGGCTTGTCTGTCTGTCTGGCCAGATCAGCTTTTCTAGCAGTGGCTGTGCAGGCAGAGATGCTGGAGTTACTTCCCTGGAGATAAGGTCCTGGCTCAGAGAGCAGGAGGTGTCACAGACACTGAGCAGCCAGACAGGACGACCCCATGCCCCCTCTCAACAAGAGCAGGGTGGGATCCTCTTTCAGATACAAGCCTGGGACTTGGGACAAACCCTTGCCAACCAGCCACTGCCTTCTCTTTCCTCAGTGGGACACTTGGGTGCAGAGAGAGATGGAGCAGATGCTCATAAAGCAACATGTCCTGAAGCAGCAGAGAATTGTAACCTCCCGTCCCCCGGAGCTCAGGGGCTTTGACAAGAACATTCGTCAGAAGCTTGTCCAGTGAGTAGGGACTCCAGTCCCCTATCTCCAGGTGTCCCAAGGGAAACATCCAGCAGTTCTCCCTGCTCCTGAGAGCTCCTTGTGCCTGCAGAGCTGGGAACAGCCGGGGACTTCAGAAAGGGTCCAGCCCCAATAGGTGTGACAGGCTCCTATGAGCAGCTGAGTGTCCCCCCTCCCCCAGTGCCACGCTGAGCTTTGGAGCAGCTCAGTTCGCCCACAGGTTCTGTTCTTAGGGCTGAGCACAGACCATCAAGCCCTTCCAGGCTGCACAGACACTGTCCCTGCTGACAACTCCAAGCTGCCATCTTGATTCCAACTATCAGAGCACACTGAGCAAAAGGAGCAGGGAATCACACAGGTCACCAAACCCTTGAAAACCCTAAATCAGGCCTGGATGCCGGTGAGGTGGCAGGGCTTACCTAGGGAGCTTCCCCTTGCTCCTTCATGAGCCATCACAGGCACAGGAGGCTCCAATTCAGGAAGAAGATGCTCTGCAAAACAGATCATTCATGTGCTTTCCTTTGTGGGATTACTCTGGGAAAGGACCCTCCCATTAATTTTGCCAGTGTTGATTACATTTATCAGTGCTGCTTTGGGGGCGATTCTGGTTGCAGAGCAGTGAAAATTTCCTGTGCAGGCAAATTTTATTCCAAGGCCCTGAAGCAATTTCAGGCTCAAGCTTTCAACCAGGCTAAGCAGTTTCATTGAGACCAGTGGATGTCCAGTGAACTTATCTACACTGGCTTTTCATATCAGAGGAGCTGTGACCAGTGTCCATTTTAAACTAATTTTATTTTCAGGTACCACTGGTAACTGATAAAACCTAAGACCTGCACTCCCTGTGACTTCTCAAAGTCATTGCCAGGCGGTCAGGCCTTGAGTTTCATGGGTTTGAGTTGAGATTTTACAGCAGTGAACACAGAATTATCCACTTTGTTTGCATCTTCCATCCACTTGGACGTGTATCCAGGCTGTGGTTTAAGGACTGTCTTCACTCCTCCTTCCAGGATTGAGCTGCCCGACTACATCCTGGACATGGGCAGCGTCACTCGCGGTGACACTGAGACACACACTGTGGACATCACCAACACCGGGCCCTTCCCGGTGTCCTTCCAGATTGAGACACATGTCCTGGGGGACAAAGGTAACCAGTGCTGGAGAGACTTCTCGTGGGCTTGAAGGAGCTGTCTCAGACAGTGGTTTAAGCCACTAGACAAGGGGAGGGGTTTTGAGTGTTTTCCCCTCAGTGCCCCTGCTGGGAGCTTCAAAGCCTGAATTCTCCTGGCCAGCTGTGCCCAGGGACCTGGCCTGCCTGTGGCTGCCCTGTGACACTTCATTATGGTTTGCTGTGTCTAAGGGATGCTCAGGTGTCTCCTCTAAGTTGTTGACCAGGGAACAGCACAGCACGGGGGGATCTCAATTGGAAATTCTCCTTTGGAGAGCTCTGCGCAACCTTCCCTGAGGCGCCTGATGAAGGAATTGCTGGAGGTGCTCAGCTGATCTGTTTTGGTTTTACCATCCAAGGTGGACCTTGGATGCTGGCTGTGAAAGCCCTTTCTCCTTGAGTGGTGGGTGACAAGTTAAAAAGAGCAGCACCTTCTCCAGAGATGCAGAATGGTCTTTCCCAGAGCTGCCAGCCGGGACACCTCTATGACCTTAGCGTGCATGTGACACAGTTCATGTCGCTTGTTTATCTCAGCTGCTTTATTTTTGTCTGTTCAAGGTTTCAGTCTGGACCTGGACCAGGTGCAGTGCCTGCCCTACTGCAACACTGAGAGGATTGAAGTGCTTTTTGACAGTACTAACTTGCCAGTTGGAGAGGTGGATGTGCGCCTGCCCATTAAGGTGCCACAGCTTTTGGGGCAGGCAGCAGGCTGGGCACAGCAGCAAATGTCACCTGGACCCTCAGCTGAATTGTCTGTCCTTCTCCAGGTAACAGGAAGCTACACAGTTCACATCCATCTCTTTGCTACTGTGACTGAGGATAGCATCCAGAAAGAAGGGCCCCCTGACCTGAGCAACCCCTCGCCATTGACGTGCTCCGAGAGAGGCAAGAGACGTGACGGCCGGAGATCTAAATCTGCCTTTAAAAGGTGATGCTGCAGCTGAGGTCTGTGGGTTTCAGCAGGAGCCAAGGACTCTTGGTGCACCCTTGGCTCTCACTCAAAGGTGCTTGAGAGATTTGGTTGCTGCCCCAGCGATGAGGAATGCTCACTCTTTTTCGGTAGTGATATCCTTGCATCAATCAGTTGCATGATCCCTGTTTTTCCTGTTGGGAAAAGGAGGCATGAGGGTTTGCAGGGGCCTGGCAGTAATGCTGAGCACAAGAAGGGGCTTTGCTCACAGGCTGGTGTCCAACCTCGCCCCAGGGCCTCTTCTTGAGGATGCCAATGAAGGGCTCCCCTAGCATCCTGCTGGGTCTGGTAAAAGAGGTGGGAGAATTATTCCCTGTTGGGAAGTTGGAGGAGCAGCAGCCATGCTCCCTTTCAAAGGGAGCCTTTCCTTGTGGCTCCCCACCTTCCATACTTTGAGGTTTCAGATAAACACTGCCATGAACAGATTAAAAGATTTCTGGTCCATTTGATTAAATTGCAGAGTTTGTGGTGTGTTCTCTTTTGTGACTGAGAGAGGTGTTTGTATGTAAGTGTTTAGACCCACACAGTGAACAGAGTATTTGGAGTCAGTGAAGGGCCAAAGCAGCAGCAAACTCTTCTTCCCTTGCTGTGTAAATAGCAAGAAGGGCAACTGAACTGGTGAACCTCCTGAGTTCCAAATGGCCTTATTCAGGATAGCCCTCATTTCTTTTCCTCATTGGTGCATGATTCTGTGGAGCATTTCTCTCCTGTTCTGGAAAGCAGAGGTTAGCAGGAGAAAGTGTTATTTTCCATATACCGTACAGGTATAGAAATAGGTTACTGTCCTAGGGTTTGAGGAGTCTGGAGGATATCACACAGTCAAATTTGATTCTCCACATAAGGGCAGGTTACTTATCAGGTGCTGCCCATAAAAGGTAGAGGTGGAAGTCTGTAGCAGACTGGGATATCCCTATTCCAGACAGATATTCCTCCCTCAGCAGAGGGCCGGAACTGAGGCTGTCAGTGCTGCTGTTTCTGTCAGGATTTCTAAGGAAATCCTAGCAAAAAGACAACAGAAATTCTTCCAGTTAGTTGCAAACAAGATGCCACCAGTTTGAGACCAAGCCCTAATCCCAAGGAAAGAATTGTGGGTTTTCTTCTCCAACATGTTTCACCCCAAGTCCTCTCCTCCAAAAACTTCAGTTTATGTCACCTGCTCCTCTTTAGATCTGAAGTGGTGTCAAAATCCATCTTCAGGCTGGTGGGAGTCAGTCCTGATGGGGAGAAGCTGCCAGGGACAGAAAGGCAAAGAGGATTTTCCAGCCCCCTTTTGCAGTCGAGGTTTGGAACACTTATTTCTGCCTCGAGGGTGTGATTGAAACCCTTGGGTCCACAGAAAAAGTGTCTTGCAGGGGGCTACATTATGCTTTCTGTGAGCATCCTGGGGAAAACTGCTCGGGAATGAGCAGGAGTATGAAGGGATTTGCAGCCTATTCCCAAGGACAGTGTTACCTGTGGGAATTTGCTCCCTTTCGAGCCACACAGGTGGGTTACAAGATCACCTGGTGCCAGGGATAACCAAAGGGATACAAACCCTTTGGAAACCACCTCCTTGCTCCAGGGACATACAGGCTGAGGGCCAAGCCTGTGGCAGGATTTACATCCATCCACGTGCAGCATCTCCCACGCCCAGAGAAATGGTATAGAATATGCTTTGCCTATTTCTGTACCTGTAAGGTTGGACTGACACGGTTTCTTCTTCAGGATTTTCCAAGCTGAGAGGCCAACTAAGGATGGAGAAATGAAATCGGCCTCTAAAGAACCCAATTAACCAAGATATGAACAAATTGAGCAATAAGAACCTGGAGGACTGGCACTGGCACACCTCCTTTACCAATAAAGCAGGGAAAACAACGTCTTGTATGAGGAAGTCTGTGAATGCTGAGCTGTGTACCCAGGCGTGGTGCAAATTTCATGAGATCCTGTGCAGTTTTCCTCTTCTCCCAGAAGAAGCTCTCCAGGAGGGAGAACTGAATTCTGTCCACCTCCATGAAGCACCTGGAGCTTTCATAACCAGTCTCAATCACTACTTGAAGTCCCACCATGTCCCTTGCCACTGGAATTGGGTAGCTAATACTCTAAACCCGTACCATGAAGCCAATGACATGCTTATGATGGTCATGGATGACTGTGTAATACCAAATATGTTGCCTTGGTGGTACTTTGGCCCAGATAACACTGGGGAGACTGTGGCAGACTAGTAGAGAGAAGACTCTTGGTCGGGTATGAGAAGTGACAACACTGACTACATTATGCTTTCTGTGAGCATCCTGGGGAAAACTGCTCGGGAATGAGCAGGAGTATGAAGGGATGATTATGATTCAATTTATTGCTAAAACAGTAATCTGAACAGTGTCAATGCAGTGTATAATATAAGCAGAAGAAGAAAACATCAGACCACATCACCTTCTAACCTTGTTGTGCCCAAAAGCTTGAGCCTTCCACCCTGGGGTGCAGTGTGTCCCTCCGAGGGCCCTGTGACCTAAATGAAGGCTCCTGTGCCCTTATGAGTCCCCCCTGCTGCTGCTCGAGGGGGTTTGGGCCTCCAGTGAGACCCAATCCATGCTTTTTAGACCACTTATCTTCAAACATTCAGAAATATTTGTTTACCATTTATTTGAAGGCCTTTTTCTATCGCCCCACACCTCCTGTGCCAACTTTTTCCACTGCAACTTCTTCCACTTCTTCCACTTACACACCCACACAGGGCCCACAGCCTTCAGGGTGGGCACCCTTCTGGCCCCCTCTTTGGGATCCAACCATATCCCAGAGGGGTATAACCCCGTCCCAGAAGGATGCAGCCCTGTCCCAAAGGGATACAACCCTCTCCCCGTTACTCTCTAGGAACAAATCCCCTCCCGTCCCCGCCCCTCCGCGCTCCGCCACGATCCCACAATGCTCCGGGGCGCCGCCGCGGGGCCAGCGGCGCGCGGGCCCCTTCCCTCATTCAAATGACCCACCGCGGGCGGCGGCGCGGGGTCTGTCGGGAGTTGTAGTTCCTCCCAGCCCCTCCCGGTGCGCGTCCGGCGTCCGGCGGGACTCTCTGTCCCGGCATGCCGCGGGGGCGGGCGGAGCGGGGCGGGGCGGGAGCGCGGGCGAGGGAGGCTGAGGGGGCTCGCGCCGCGCACGGGGCCGCCGCCGCCGCCATAGTGGGAGCCGCGGGTGAGTGCGGGGGGCGCGACCGGCACCAGGACCGGGGCGGCACCGGCACCGCCCGCGGGCCGGCGCACGGCGCCGCCACACCCCGCGCTCGCCCGCCGCGGGCCCGTGGCCCGGCCCCAGCCCCGCCGCGGGGCGCTGCCGGCAGCCGCGGGCCGGGCGGGGCGGCAGCCGCCGGCCGGAGCCGCCCTGACCTTCCCCGTCTTTGAGGCGCCGGCAGCGCGGTCCCGGAGGGGCGGCGGCGGCAGCGGGGGGGAGCCGGGCTGCTGGCGGGGTTGGCGGGGCCCCGCATGTGGGTGGGCGGGCGGGTGGGCGGGCGGCCCTGGCCCAGCTCCCCCGGGGGGAGCGAGGGGCCCCGGGGCACAGATCGCTCCGGCGGGGCCGGGGGTGACGGGGAGGAGCGGGATGTGCCTCACCGGGCTCCGGGCGCAGCCGCCGCGACCCTCCGGGCCACCGGGGCTTCTCCTCGGCCTGGCGCCCGCCGGTGCCGCTGCCTTGCCTTGCTTTGGCTCGGTATCGCAGGGAGCAGGGGTAGGGGGGCTGAGCCGGGAGCTGCGAGGTGGTTTGTGTAGCCCAGAGGGTGTGCTCGTGCTCGGAGTGGTTTTTTTGATGTTCTTGCTGTTTTGTGTCTTGCCAGAAGGTTGTGCGAGGACCGGGGTTACCTGACCCGGCTGAGCCTTTGTCACATTGGAAGCGAAGGGTTCGTGCTTCCTTGGAGTAAAACTAGCAAAGTGCATGTGCTCAGTGATCTGCTGCAGCCGTCTAGTTTTTCACTTTGAGTTGGCAGTTTCCAGTATGTTCTACAGGAGATAATTTTTTTCTTCGCCCCTCTGGCTGTTGTCACTTTTTAACTTTAAAAACAATCAAAACCTGCAAAGGTCTCCAGTAGCAAGGACGGTGTGTTGCATTCAGTTAATATGACAGGGCTTTCTGAAGACATTTAAATGCCCAAGACGCTGTTCTTGCAATCCAAGTTTAACTTCCTGTCCGAGGCAGGCTGTTACAATGCTTCAGCTCATTTGAAGTCCATAATTTCCGGTGTAATTGTATCTTCTAGAGTTGGACACACTGTATTGCAGTTGAGCTGGAAAAAAAAGCCCAGGTAAATGCTTGAACAGGAACTGGTTGCAGAACTGTTGCTTGAAAGTTAAATCTGATTCCTTAATCAGCTGCCTTCTCAAGTTGGTACTCTTTTGGCTTCTTGAGGAGTTGTGTTCAAGCAAAGTTTGTGTGTTGTGACTTTGAGTTTTGTTTTAGCAGCAACAAAAGAAAGGCATTTCACAGATCTCCACATAGAAGTAGCAAAATTACTGTATGTAGTGAAAAACCTCATCTCATTTAAATTTTGGTGATATTTGGGCTCTCTTTGAGACTGTTTAACTATTTTCCCACTGGGATCCTAATCATTATTTCATGTCTAGATGCTTGCAACTTATTTGCTAGATGATTTGAAATGTATTTGCTTAACATCTGTGTTTGTTCAGGTCTTTAGAAAAATGCAAATGGTGACAACTTTCTGCAGTTCTCTCTGCTGGGATTTCTTTTGTCCCTGTTAATAATAGGGTTATCTAGTTATTGCAGGAGTAGATTATGGTTTGTGTAGGAGTTGCAATATATACTAATAGCTGGTAGCAATAATTCTTTTTGGTTGTTTTAAAACTCTTAGACATTGTGGCAGTTTTTGGGGATAATGTTTTGTTACTGTGTCTGTAAGGTAAAGAAAAACACGATGTAGCAGTTCTCCCTTCCGATTCCCCAGTGCCTCCTCTGTTATTTTAAAACTGAGCACTCTTGGATTCATCCCCGGGGAAAGGAAATGTGGCTCGGGAAGTTCAGCCTTGTAAACTTGAATTCGGTTTTTGGCTTGCTTGAAAAATACCATGCAAAAAAGGCAGATGTGCAGCATTGTGGCTCTTGAACAGCAAGACATTCTGTCTTCCTCTCCAGTTATGTGTAATATATGTCTGGATGTTTGAAAATCGTCCTGACTGACTCTGTGACTCTTGTGTTGTCAGGTTGCAGTTAGGATGAGCATCAAGCTGCAGGCACAGTGAAAGCTTTCCCAGAGTCCTCCCCATGTGGTTTGTGTACCAGTGGCCTTACACTTGCTGATGTCTCTAACCAAAAAAAAAATACTTCAGGTTGGCATAATTCCCACATTAATTTGTTTTAATGAAGTTGGAATAGAGGAATAAAAAGACTAAGAAGGGGGAAGTACATGTATTTCCCAGAAGGAAGTAATCTGCACTTTGTCACCTTGTGATTCTTTCTTCACCCTTCTCCCTTCCCATCCTCTTGCTGTTCACTTATCTAGACTTCATTATTTTTAGATCTAAAAGTGTATTTAGAGTAATGTAATTTCTTGCACAGCACAGCCCATGGCAGTAACTAGGTGGAGGTCTCTGTTGAAATCAATAGTTTCTGATTGGCCTGGAGCTGTAGTTTGCAGAGGGTTTGCTTTGCCCCCATGGATCAGTCAGCTACTGTGGAGATGATTGTGAAAATACCTGAGAGAAGCACTTCTTTCCTTCTGTCTCTGAATGCATCAATTTGCTCCTCAACTGGAAATTTCATAGGTTTTCAAACAGAGAAAGACTGACCATGAATTGGCATTTGTCAGGCAGAGATACAATGTGTCGAAGATAAATGGTTGACGATTCATGATGTCCCTTGGTGAGTTCCAGTGGTTCTCCATCCCTGTGTCACTGCCTGTTCTGCCTGGCATGGGCTTGTTTAGTCTAGAGAAGGCTCGAGCAGCTTCATCCCAGCCCCATCTCTGTCAGGCTGTTACCAGGAGAATGGAGCCAGGCTTTTCACAGCGGTACCCGGCGGGAGAACAGCACACAGGGGGCTTAAACTGGAACAGAAGGGATTGGGGTTGGACATGGGAGAGCTGCCCTCTGCATGAGGGTGGTCAGGCAGTGGAACGGGTTTGTCTGCTTTGAGCTGGAGGAGGTCCCTTACAACCTGCATTATTCTGTGATAATTTGCATAGCTTCTCCTGTTGGGTGTGTATCCTTTGCTAAAGGGATGATCTGTTATCAAGTGTTGGTGGAGTTGAATAGGTGACCTGCTTGAGAGATTAACTGGTCCTGTGATGCTGGGTCCATTGTGTTCCTAGAAAGTGCACACTGGAGACACTCCTGTCTTTGCAAGTTTTAGCAGCAATAGAAAAGAGACTGAAGGAAAAATAGTCTAAAGCTGTTTGCTGTTTTAGTTTTTTTACCACAGTCTAAACACTGCTCACTCCTTAATCTGAGCAACCTAAAATACCTGCATGGTAGTAAAATTGCAAGAGTATCAGGAACTGAAACAACTGAGAGCCTTGTCCTTATTTGCTCCTGTTAATCAGTAGTGAAGGGTGCAGCAACTGATGGTCTGAACCACCTTTGTTGTGAATTCCCACGTACTCCTGGACCAGCAGCACCTGTTTAAAGGCTGTATTTGTGCTCTCTCATTACACTGATTCTCAGATCTTTCAGAAAACAAGCTTGAGTTTAACTTCGGTGAAGTGGTGTGTGGGGCCAGCTTAAATATCCAGGGAACATGGTTTATTTATGATGGGATCACCTGCAAAATAAATATAGTCATAACTGAATAATAGAAGGCAATTTGCTCTACTAACATATTAGAATGTATTGGTTTGAGGTTTTTCCTCTTTAAATTCAGTGTTTTTTTCCTTGATGTGTTGGAGACTAGAAAGACTTTATTGACTTTATTTGCCTGTGATGGTTGTTCATCGATTCTTTGAATACAGCCTGCTTTTTAAATGTGGCAATCCCTGGCAGACCACCTGTGTTTTATTTAGCAGTTTATATTCTACTGTTGTGCACACTAGTTTTTGTTGACTTTTTCAGAAAACGTAGTATTCTTTAAGAAGTGCAGGCTTGCCATGCTGCAATTCAGAATGAGTTAATTTTTTTTTAACTGATAGGAGCAAGCTTGCATATGTCCAGGTCTGATAATGCATTAAAGCATAACTGCTGATTGAAGCAATTTTTTGTTCTTTCTCCATATTCCAGGGATGTGACAGTAACCCACCTCCTCCAAATGTCACTGGTGCTTATGTGTTTCAGAGAAGGCAGTCTGTCTGTTGGCAGGTGACCACTGCTTCCAAGTAAAAAAGTGCTTTTCTTTAAGTTGCACTTCTGCTGTTGCCACTTGAACAGAAAGATGGACTTTGTGCTGCAGCAAACCGACAGAGAATCATCTGCAGATTGTTTCATGGTTTCTTGCTTGTGAAGGAAGCAATAGGAAGAGGTTTTATCCAGAGGTTTTATCCAAACCTGTGGCAGCAATGGGTCTCCTAAGGACTGTGTTCCCCTTAGGAGTTATGGGCAGTGTTGGTGTGCTTGTGCTAATCTCTTACACTCAGAGCTAAGGCAGGAAGAGGGATGACTGTAGACAGGAGCACTGAAGCTGGGGCAGGCAGTGGAAAAGATGCTGTATTTTTGGATTTTGTGGACAGAAAATCTTCTGCCCAAGGCCAGTGTAACCCTAGTTTTATTCCAGGTCACTCGTGGCCCTTGTGAAGGCTCTGTTCCCTTCTAGGCTTCCTCTGTCTCATCCCTGATGCATTTTCCTCCTTGGTGCTGCTCTTTGCTGGGTCCTGCAGCTTCACCTGGTATTGGTGCCATCTGCCACGAGCCAGAGCAGATACTTGGGATGTGATACCTTGTAGGATGGGATTTGTAGGAATCATAGCAAGAGGTGAGTAGAGGGATGGAACTTACACTTGATGTGTCAGTGTGTGGCCTGTCAAAGGTACTGGAAAATTTGATTTAGGTGTCACTGTGCAAAAGTCCCCTGCAAAGCAGCAGTCCCAGTTCTGCAGTGTCAGCAGGTACCTGTTGAAGACAAGAGTTGCTGGGAGCTGCAGCTTTTGTGCACTGTACTGGGTTTCAGCTTCATCACTGACTGCTGGGTGTTTTTTGGGGTGGGGATAAACTCTCCAGTATGAGCAGATTCCAAGAAATCGAGTGAATAATGTGAGTTAAAGTATTGCACCTTTGTGTTGGTAGCTCAGCTTTCCTGCTCTGCTTTTGTGAAGAAGCTGTTAATCAAATGGACTGTGATGTTCTTAAGTGGATGTGAGGAGGGAGGTTTGGTTTGAAGTGACAAAGGCAAGAAAATTAGTTGTCTTAAGCAAACTATCTCCTTTTCCATGGGGAATTAAGGTGGAATATCTTACACATACACAGTAGTAGCTTTCAGCAGGTGCCTTTAAAAGAACAGGTGTGCCACATCTTACATGCTTTCTACCTTATTGCAACTTCTTCTATCTGGCTTTATATTAACTGAATATTCTTGTCTCTGTAACCAAACTTTGAGTGAACCATGGACAGATTTAGCTGGATGACTCTGAAGCAATTCTGTGTTGTCCTGGTGTTTGACAACATCAGAACATGTGCAGTCCTCCTAGCTTTGCAACAGATCTTAAAAGCCTTTTATATGACATTTATCTCATTAAAACATCGTACTGATAAGTGTGTCAATACAATCTTGCATGGGTTGTGTCTCATTGAAAGGGACTGGGCTTGATGACACAGATCATTCCCATCTTGTTCTTTCTTTAGGTACATCTCTAAGCTTCTTAGACCTGTAACGACAGGCAGAAAACACAAGACAGTGTGGAGGAAAAGATGACGAATCAGAAGAGGAAAATAAAAAACCTTTCCAGGGAGAGAGAGTGTTCAGCAAAACCATATATGAATGGCACAGGGAAGAGTAAGGTTGTAACAAACAAACAGAAAAAAAATTAGTCAAAGATCATTAATTTCAGCCACATTCTTTAGCTTGTTCTCATTTCTGACAAAATCAACATTATAACTCGTCCAATTTATGCTGGTTTTTTATTTATTTAATAGAATATTACCTATCAAATTACAGATACGTTTTTAGGAGGAGATAGCAAGCTGGCATACTAATCTTTGGATTTAGACACCTTAGTTCTACTTTCCATATTTAAAATACAAATTCCTTCATTCCTTGCAGTCTCTAAAGCTTCCTCACAGTTTTAGGATTGAACAGGAGGCATCTGGTGCTTGAGTGAGGCTGTTGTGCCTTGAGGAACTAAATGAGGTGCAGTGCTAGTGTACAGCTTGATCTTGGGTTTGTATGATGGTACAGTGAGCTGTTCAGGGTGAATAAACATCATGTGTGTGGGGAAATTTAATTTAGCAATAGCTCACTTGCTTTAGCTCCAGGAGAATAAGCTGGTGGTTTTCTTGCTGTCCACGACTTCATTTCAGTGTTAGATGTTTGACTGTTGAGCGTTAATACTGTCAACTAGATTTGCACTTGAATGTTTAGGAATGATGCCCAATAGTGATGTGAGTTCATGGGTTGAAGTTGAATCCTTGATGGTCCATAAAAAGTGAATCAGAATGATTTTCAGCTGTGCTGATTGTTGGCTCCCCCACGACCATCCCGAACGACACAACTCCGGGTACTCACAGGACTAGACTGGGAACAGCAGGCATCAAACCTAAATCCTAGAACCCTGAAAACATGGATGCTACCTGCTGTTATGCCACGGATCCAATAAAAGAGATTTGCTCTTCTATAAGTCTGGCCAAATTTATGTAACCTTAAAACTTCCAGCCAAGAGTCTGAATCCATTTCAGTTCCTATTTGTATGAGTAGAGCTCAGACAGCCAAAGGCCTGAAATACAAAAAGAGCTTTCTTGTCCAACTATGCACAGAAAACTAGGCCTGGGAATATCCTCTGTGAAGATCTTGGGAATGTGTGTTTTGCTTCTCTTAGAAATTTGTCAAATCTGAAACAAGTGTGTAAGTAATTGACATCTAAAGGAAGCCAAAATAACTGTCATGTCCTATGTCCTAAAACAGAATTTCATGCCTTTCAGACTTGGCAGTGCAATTCAAACCTGTAGCTCCAGGATTCCTGGTCAGGGATTACAGAGAGGGACTAGTGGCTGGCAGATCTTGATGTTGAGCAAATATAGTTTGCATGAAGTAAACTCAGGTCTTAAAATATAATGTAGTGGGTTTTGAATGCAGGATTTTTGTGGTTTGAATTTTAGCACAATTCTTCATTCTTTCAGAGAGAGATCAGGATAAATAGAAATGAATTTGCTTTCTTGAAAAATGCAGTGGTGTAGTAAAGCCATCATCTGTGCTGATGGTGTGTGATGGTTTGTAGGCTGGGTCTGTGTAGACTGCTGTGCATCCTGTGTGTTTAATCCCTCTAGAATAGAGGGACTCGTGTTCAGAAGTGTGGGATGCCTCTGAGCTTCCAGCAGCTTCAGTGGGAGCTGCAGATTTTCACCACTGTGAAAAGTCATGGTCCGTGTGTGGAAGTTACTACAGGTTCAAACATAAACAGGGAGTGTACTCCAGCCTCAGCGACAGGATAGAAGAGGATGGGCAGAAGCACTGTGTTAAGCAATGAGCTAGTGAATTAATTCCTGTTACGTGCCATTGAAAGGACTCTCTTAGATGGGCCTGTGGATGGTGAAATACCTGAGGAGCTAAATAGATGAATCAGTTGGTGTAAAGCCACTTGCAGACAATCCATATTAACAGGTCAAGTCGAAACAGCAAGTGCTTGCCAGCTTTTTCAGGTGGTGTAACTTCTGCACTATGTGAAGATAAGGGGATATATGAAGCCAAGGTGGTAACACTCATTTTTGTTCTCCTTCTCCACTTTTGTACATGAGATGTGACCTCACACTGAAATAGCACCACAAACCAAGTGCTGTAATAAGGAACTAAACCATTCGGTATCCGAGACTTTTTTATTTACAAAAGTCTAGGATACAGAGGTGAGATTTGTCGTGCTTATCCCGAAGAAAAATTCAGGCCAACTGACAGGATTTGTGTTTGCCAGTGCTAATACTTGAGCCAAGTGTTACGCTTATTCCTGTGATCCTTCTGATGATTTTGTTGTTTGTTTGTTCGTTTCACAGTCACTGGCTCTGGGTGAGGATTCAGAATGGGAGACAAGCCTATCTGGGAGCAGATTGGGTCCAGCTTCATACAACATTACTACCAGCTTTTTGATGCAGACAGGACTCAGTTAGGAGCAATATATGTAAGTATCTACAGAAAGGGGGCTGGGGCTTTGTCCCATTATCTGTCTGTATTTCTCTGTTTTGAGGTGTGAGAATACAAATGGTTGGATAGTGGGTTTTATCCTGACTCCAGAATGTCAGTCAGTGCAATCACACCCAACTTTTTTTTATATTTTTTTAATTTATGTTTCATTTCTCCTTTAAGCTTTGTTTGCCTTATAGGCAGTCAGACTCATAAAAGCCCTCTTTGGCTGTAGACAGTGGCTTGTATTGGAGGGGGTTGGTGATGATCCTGTGATGAAATGCTCTGTAAAAGCAAACATTCTAGCCTCAGTTTGCCATTAATTTACAGTTATGGATTTGCTTGGATCCCTCTTGAACTGGGATGTAATTTAAGTCCTACCCTGTGTTTAGCAGTTCTTTCAGGTGTTTCTTGGATCTCATGCTCTATTAAGTCTTGATTCCAGTTTAAAAAATGTATAATTTGTTAAATAAATCTAAATCTAATTTAAATTTCCTCAAAAATCAGATTTTTTTATTTTTGCTTCTTATTTGGCACAAAGGAGATTTGGAATTAAAGACTGTAACTAACAAAGCCATGGAACATCACCTTTTGGTTTTGAGGGAGGATTCCTCCAGAGCATGCAGAGTGCTCTGTGTGTGGAGTTGATTACTGATGGTGAGGAATGCTGCTGGGTGGCTGAAGTGTTTCAGGAAGACACTCAAGTCTTACAGGTCTTCTAGTAGCATATCCTGTTTTTCTGACTGGCTTTTCATCTGCTGAATGAGTTGAGTTTCTGCAAGCTCTTCAGGATTGAACTGTGAAACACCCTCTGACACCTCTCCTTATACCTCAGCAGTATCCAGCAGCACTGACAGCATTTGCTCTGGGCATTGTTGTGTTCTTGCCACCTGCCAGACTGTTGCTTTATTTTGCCTAAGAAGTTGTGTACAGAGCCTGTAAAGGAAGAAAACCAAGCAGCCTCTGTTAAAGCCACAGCTCTAAATATGAAGGCTCTTAGCAGTTTGTCATGTTGTTACCAAAATACATTCAGTCCTCAGAAGACTAATTTAAATTCCTGGAGACATGTCCTTCCACACTACGAACTCCTGGCCTTTTTTCAACTTTAGGGTCTTTCTGCCTTTCATGGAGAGACCTGTGCACATGTATTTGGGAGGACTGTTGTGGAGGTCACTGATATGTATTGCTTTGTGGAGTTCCTAAACTGTGGAGAGAGGATGGGACCCTATTTTGTGTGGCTAAAATGCACCAAGGGCACAATTTGTCTAAATTTGGGGAGATTTTGCAGAACTGGGCTTTTAACAATGAGCTTTTTGCCTTCAGACACACTGTAGGAGCAAATAAATTTTGTAGCATACAGGAATGCAGCAGGGAGCTCTTGGATTTGGTTTGTATTCCTGTATCACTACTTCCATCACGAGATTCAGCTTATTTTTACTGGTGTAATCCAAGTCAATCAAGCTTTTGTCACCTATCCCAGGCAGGGATGTGACCAGTCACTTTTGCTGTGAATTGTTTGAGTTAGGTGAGTTGGAATACCACCCTTGTGGTGCAACTCATTTAGTCAGTTTTCTTCATATATTTTTCTCTCTCCACATGCTTGACTTTGTGTCCATAGGATTTTTTTTGTATCCTTTGGATTTTCTTCTAAAAGCTAACTTTGATCCAAAGGCAGGAACTTTTTTGCAGGTAGGATATGATAATGAAATGTAGTCTATTTAGTTTCTAGTTGATTGTTCCAAACTTTTTCAGTTGCTCTTGGTGGTTTCTTCCTATCTCCCTCTGAGGTAGTTCTCAAATAGCTGGATTCTAAGGATATATTCTAAATAAACAAAGCCTCTTACCAGGATTGCTTGAGAGTTACCTGAGCAGGTTGATGACTTTGTTTCTTTCCCCCCCAGATTGATGCATCATGCCTTACGTGGGAAGGACAGCAGTTCCAGGGCAAAGCAGCCATTGTTGAAAAACTCACTGTAAGTCTGTAAACCTTACTGAATGTTTTGGGAAACAGTTCTGAAGACTATAAGATAATTGCTTCTGAAAATCTGAGTTAGTCTTGAATAAGGAACTTGTGCTTCCAACTTTGGTCTTCAGAAGATGTTGTGAATTAATGCTACATAGTGGGGTGTTCCATTGGTGACTCTAATGGTGGAGTTTTAATTGACTCCATAGTTTGCAAGGTTATTTTGTGACTGCAATTGTATTTGACATTACTAATTTATTCTTTTTTAAAAGGTCTAATGCATAAGCTGCCTCTGATCTAGAGGAATGAAAGGTGTCTTTGCTCTTTTAAGGCATGCCAAGGAAGAAGCAATAGCAAGCCTGTTACTTGGATCTGTCTGTGATAAAGACTAGACACATAACTGCAAGGAACAACTTGTTTTCTGATACGTAAACTGCAAATAAGTTCTATAGTGGAGAAGCTGACTTATCCTCAATGCAGATTTGTCAGCAGTTCAGATATGAGCAGGTATGGTTCAGGACTTTGCAACATGTGTTTCCTCTTCAGCAAGTGAGAGGACACTGGAATTCTATGTTCATTTAGTTAAACTTGGAGAAGTTTTATCTTCCTGCGTAAATTCATGCTTCTGTTATAAAACTGGGTGTACTTACAAGCTGTCATGAGACTAGGAAGTTTGTTTCTCTTTCAAGATACGTGAAGGACATGCTTTTTAGGTCATCAGACAGTCTGCTCAGAGCATGGTATTTCAGACAGACGTACTTAACACTGAGAAGAAAAATCAGTGTAACTTGACACTTGTCTTGTTGCACAGCTACTGCTCCTGTCTTATGGAATCACTCCTTTCATCCAAGGCATCTTTAACTGTGAAGACCAGTTTGAGCTCAGGTCTGTGTTTTAGGTGCCTGTCTTGCCTTTGAGAAGGCCACACACCTCAGAAATAGCACAGCTTGCAACTGCTCGCTTGGAGGTGAGGAGATACTCAAGCTCCAGAGTTGTTTGTTTGCGTACTCAGTGTTCTTTAGACTTCTGGGCTAGCAGCCATTTAGATACCCAACCAGCTAAGCATTTGCTTGGCCACAGTGTCTGACTGCTGCCTTGGATCCAACCCAGTGCAGATCTAGCCCCTTTCCCACCACAGCGTTGCTCATCTTTACCTTCCCTGTCTGTGGTGCAAGTTGGACTTTCTGGATTTATGTGCCTGCCGCAGTCTTAACTGGTGAGTGAAAACACACTGCTTTGCTTTAGGGAAACTTTTTCTGACTTGTGTTCATCTGCTTAAAGTAAGGAAGAAGTGCAGTGAAGTTACTGTGCCCTTCCCCTGCCCCGGCTCGTTACGGGGCTGTATCAACTTACTGTGACTGATGTCGCCCAGCATTCCTCTGCCAGCACTGAGCTGCCTGGGCTCCCTTTGCTGTTTCAGCTTCATGTGCTCACCTACTCTGTGCTTCTGGAGCTGCTTAGTCAGTTGAGCAGATCCCTGAAAGTGTGACACTGAAATTCTTTTGCTTTCTGCAGTCCTGTGTCCCTCAGGGCCTGGCTGGTGAATCGATGTAAGCACAAACAGGTGGCGTTTTCTTTTACATCAAATTCTTTGCTGTGTAACAGCAATGCTATGGCACCTTTTCAGTCTACTAATACAGTAGGGGAGGGTTGTGTGGGCATTGCTCTGCCAGCACTGGCAGACCTTTACCTTGTTACACTGTGGGAGGTGACACTTGTTCCTTGTGTCCTAACTGGTGCTGGGCTTGTTTCACTTAAAGTGCCTGTGCTAATTATGGGCAGCTTGATTTACCATTTGAGATAATAATCGTGTAGTTCTATGAACATACTGGACCAAGGAAGAAGCTGAGATAGGTAGCCTTGTTGCCAGGAGTGAGTTTATGCTACTCAACTTTATTCTTGCATAATTTCTCTTGTGTGACTTCAAGGACGATTTCATAGTTTTGCTAGTGAGAGCCCAGTCAAATTGTAGTGTCAGAGGATGCTAAAAGCCTTGGTTGTTGTGTGACTTCATGCTTTTTAGACACATTTATTGTACTTTTCATATCACAAAATCCTCCTCTCCAGTGTAGATGGATGTCCATAAGCAGCCATTCTTTTGAGATACCCTCTGCTTATCCTAAAAATTAGTGAACTTTCCTGTCAGCTACTTTCCTACTCTTTCCAGTGGGATTTCCCCCAGCACATCATGAGTAGCTCACTAGCCTGGCCAGCTGCTTGGGTTCCTTTTCTCTGAAGGGAACAGTAATGGAATCATTAAGGTTGTAAAAGACCTTGAACTGAACACCACCTTGTTAAATAAACCACAGCACTAAGTCCCATGTCCAGTTGTTTCTTGAACACTTCCAGGGATGGTGACTCCATCACTTCCCTGGGCAGCCTGTTCCAATGCTTAACCACCCCTTCAGTGAAGAAATTCTTCCTGATGTCCAACCTGAACCTCCCCTTGTGCAGCTTAAGGCTGTTTCCTCTTGTCCTGTGGAATCGGGTACTTGAAACAGGCACTGTCTTACCCAGCCTAGTCTTTGGTTCCTCGTCACAGTTTTGCAGAGCTCTTGATTCCAAAGGCTTTCCTTCCTCCCTGTTTTGTCTCCCCAGTCTTGCCTCTCTTGTCACACTGAAAGCTGAGTTCTGGACACAGTTACATTCATTCCTCTTCATCCCTCTGCCTTTTAAAGGGGTCTTTTTGCAGGACTTGTTCAACAAGAAGCTGCTGTGCTGAGATGGGACTGGGCTTTGTAGTACTCTTTTTTATAAGGAAGATGGTGCAATGTCCCAGGCTATGCTTGTGCAGGCTGTGTGGGCACATTGCACATTCAGTTTTGAGATGGTGACCCTGGAAAATAGTCTTTTGGTCATCAGTAGATAAGACTGCTCTGGATTTTTTTTTTTTTTTTGGTTGTTACTAAATGTCTGTCCCATATTACAAACTAGTTGGCCCACTTTGCACTTCCTAGTTGGTTGGGATTGTACTCCCAGCCAGGCACAGACACCACAAGCTTTAATAAAGGGTGTTCTTGAACAGTGAGGGCTTCTCTGCACACTTGATTTGCTTCCTCAGGCCCTGATCCTTCCACAGTTTCTGTGTTCTCTATTATCCAAAGATTTAGCTTCCTGGAATTACTCCTAGAGCCTTATGCTCATAGAGCCAAGACTGTACTTCACATCTGTGACAGTCTCTACCTCGGCCTTCTAGGACGTCTTTGAGGCTCCTTCCACTAGAGGGAAATGCAGAACTTGTCAAAGTACACGTTTGGGTCTGCTTTGACCTGTTTTTAAATGAGGGGAATGCAGCAAAGGCATCCAAGTGCCACCTGAGGTTTGAATGACCACGTGCTGCCATCCTGTGCAGTGCCTGGGCTCTGGGCATCAGCCACATGGTCACCCAGAGCCCCATCCATGCTGAACTGCCACTAAAGCATCTGGCAGTAAGGCAGCTTTTGGGAGAGCAGTGCCAAAGTTGCATTTGTGTGACAGGACTCCGAGACCCCCCAGATATTTGCTGTTCACCACTTAGAATTGTCCGTGGTCGGAATGTGGACGTGGTCTAAGTGTCCACAAGATGTGTTCCTTGCACACATAACTCCAAACATACTGACATCGGCTACCTGAGCATCAAGGAAATTAAAAAGGGGAAAGGTGAATTGTGGATTTCAAGTCTGGAATACTGGTTCTGGCTTGTCCACTTTTCCTTTCCATTCATAGCCACTTTAAAAAAGAAGCAAATTCAGAGTTCTCTGGTAAACCTCAAGTATTAGATGATAAAATCTTTTAACACTGTTCAGAGCAGAGGTTCGTGCCTTCATCATATGAACTTTGAGCTTACAGCTGATCTGAAGCCCTTCAGGCAGTGCAATTAGAGTAGGAAAAGGTTCCTTTTACTATGTGTGGTAACATTATTTCCTCTCTTGGTGCTTGAAAAACACAACTGTTACAATTGACCCAGCATAAATAGTGCCCTCATTTGCAACAACTCTCTGTGCAGTACTACTGCAATAGACTTAACACTGCATAATGTTGAGTTTACTCAATCTTTGTTTTGTAAGTTAAATCATTCAATTACTGTACATTTCCTTATTTTGATCTCTTTTCATTGCAGAGCCTCCCTTTCCAAAAAATACAACACAGCATCACAGCACAAGACCACCAGCCTACACCTGACAGCTGTATACTCAGTATGGTAGTGGGACAGCTTAAGGTAAACTCTTTCCATTACAGGCTAACAAGTGCTTATGTCTCAGATTTTTGCAGGATTCTGAATCATCTGATTTCTGAAAACATTAAAATGCTCTTGTGGGTGGGGAAGGAAGATGGGTAAGTTTTCATTGGGACACCATTCTTCTGCTGTTCAAGACTGTCAAGGAGCTGTTCATCCCTCCAGATATCTCACGCTAGATAAACCACCTGCAATTTGACAGTCACATGTTCTGTCCAGCAAAGTGCCATGACTTCTACTGTGCTTACAAATACCATGTGGGTTATAGAGGCATCATTGTTTCCCTTACCCTGATGCAGTAAGGTTTCAGTGCCCTCTGTTGCATTTAAAACCATCATCAAAGTGTTCTTGCACAGTGTAAGCACATGTAGTTTAACATCCTCTTTGTTGTAAGGTTTGCATCGAGCTCTGATGTAGCAGACTTCAGTTGTTAGCTGACCACCCTTCAGTGAGTCCATACTTCTTCTTTGCTGTCACAGGACGCAAGAATTCAGTCCTGGTGTTAATGCAGTTCAGTACCTCTGTTGTCAAAACTAATTCAGCAGTGGGAATGCTGCCTCTGAGATCAAACACTTAGTGTTGTGACAGATTCATTGTGTGAAGAATCAGATTATTTTTCAGGCTGTAGGATGACTGTATTGCTGTGTGAGCGATACTACTGAGCCGTGTAAACTTACCCTGTCTCCCAGTATACCAGGGCCACAAATTAATTAAACTGCTTATTAATGAGAGATATTGTCCTGGAATCTGCAAAAAAAATATCCTGTGTGTAAAGTCAGCTGTAGGCAGAACTTGCTCAGGGTGGGTGGTGTTTGTTTAAAGTCATGAAATTACATGGCAGTAGTTAAAATCATCAGAGTTAGTTTGGTCCAGCCACGCTGTGAAGTCAGGCCTCTCACACCATCAGTCTTTAGAGTTACCTGAACCCAGTTTGTTTTAAAAGAGCTGTTTAGATTTCCTTCTCCTGTTAATTCTGAATGACACCTCCAGTGTCAAGGCATTCAAACTCCCACTGACACTGTACTATTTACTAAGCAAATGTAGGACTTAAAGTTTGAATCTGCTTGCTTAGCTGTTCTCTTTGTTTTGGGCTGGGCAGTTGAGAAGAGCAGTGGCCAGTGTATTGCATCCACTTTTAAACCTAACACAGGCAGCTTTGGCTCTCATTAAAGTTGCTCCTGCTTCCCAGCTGCAATTTGGATTCCAGCTTTCCTGTTGTTCAGTCCCACATGCACACCCAGAGGAAAGACAGCCACATGTGACCATGGAAATCACTGAATGGCAGGGCAGGTATGCAGGCACACATGCTGATCTCAGCTTTACTCTTGGGTGTGCACACAACTCTGATATGACCAAGGCTTTTTGACCCAATGTCTTGGGCCAGTCTCATCTGCACCTGGTTTTGCACAGTCATGTTTTTAAGGTTATTGCATAATCACCAAGCAGATCACAGCTTGCAACAGTGATTGGTGTTGAATCCTGTGGCAAGATACCAAGTTCTTAAAGATTTTGTAAAGCTGTTGGGTTTTCTCATCCATTAATACAGAGGGGTTGTAAATGCAGTCCAGGAGCTTTCCATAAATACCATGAGTTGGAGTAGTATTTCCTAATGTACCGTTTTTATCCTCTGAATAATTTCAGCTTGCTGAAATTACTCAGAATAATTTAGGGATCATGTGTTAGTGCATGTAGGTATTTGGAAAGAACATACTGGCTTAAAGTGTGCCTGTTGCCATGATGAAACCCAACTTGTTTGTGAATTTTTAGTAAAAGAGGAAACATTTTTCTGCCCTTCACGTGCATGTGTCTCAAACCTTAGCTTTAAAAATCACATCATAATCCCTGGGAATGCTGCTTCTCACTGAAGAGGTGTCCAGAAAGTCAAAGTGAATTTAGAACTTTAACTTCATGCTTCTGCCTTGTGTGAGGCTTATACAGGTGGACAAATGAAAGATCAGTACCAGTCTGTAGCCTGATGTGAACATGAACCTGCCAGCACGTGAACCTGGCTGTCAGATGGAGTGAATACTTCTTCTGGTGTGAACTCATACATGTTGACAGCCACTTCAGTGCTGGGCTGTGTACAGTACAGTGACTGAGAGCAACCAGATTCAGGTTTGTGCATTTTAACAAGTGGCTCACCTGTAGCTCCAGCTGAGCAGGGAAGACTTTAACATGCAAACAGGGAGCTGCACACTTGGTGTTATTTAAAGCCGCCTTCTTAATGGTGTAGCTGCTCAGCCCACATCTGTTGGTCTGTAAGAAAACTGCAGAGAATTTTGCAGAAGGAAGGGCACTTTCAAGACCATCAGTAGCAAAGTTTGAAGGGAAAAGCCATGCTTCCTGCTTACTGTTCAGTTATCCTTTTCATGGAACTGTGAGCCAAATTCTTCAAAGTCCAGGACAATTAATGCACATGCTTTTAATCCTCTGCAGTTTTTCAAAACTTGCATTGTTTCATGTAATGAAGGAGCACACATAATGCTTTTAATAGAGTAACCCGAGAAAATAATAGTGCTGAAATACCTGTAACATGCCCTTTCTAAGTTATCATTCCTGGCATGATATATAAATGGATTTTCTGAGGCAATAGTTGCTTGAATTGCTGGTAGTCCCAAAAGTTCAGTGGAAATATCATTCATTCTGAGAAAGCTGGGCACATCTTGTATTTCTTGCTTAAACCATTGGAGAGGGGGAAATAAACCAAAAACTTTCACTGTAAAAACATGTTTCTAACTAAACATATGAAAGATCCTCTTTTAGTGGTTGCTGAGATAGGTGTTAATGTCTGGGGGTTTTTTTTATCCTTTTGAAGAGGTATAATAAATATACATCCACTTATTCTAATCCTGTTGGTTTTTATTGCTGTTCATTGTCTGGGGGCTGCTTGCTTGCTTCAACTAGGAGGAGTAAGGATGGGTTTAAGCCTTTAGGAGTGAGTTCCATTTGGTGTGACACTGCTTTGCTGATGTTCCCCCAGAATGTCACCCCGTACCTCCACTGTGCTTCACCTCGTAACATATTTCTCCTGTTGCGCTCAGGCAGATGATGACCAGGTTCTAGGCTTCCACCAAACCTTTTTGTTGAAAAATTTTCAAGGTGCCTGGGTGTGCACCAACGAAGTCTTCAGGCTATCCCTCCACAACGTTTAACCCTCTGCCTTCCCTGTCTTCCATGCAGTCCTCGCTGTCCTGGTTGAGTAAGGAGTGCTCTCTTCTCGCCCTTCTGTCCCTTGAGCATGGCTGTGGCTTGGCATTCTCAGAGCCATGTGGCAGATCTGTGGCTCTCCCCAGAGTGTGAATTTTGAAGTGATTGTTGCAGAATTAATTGTGAATAACTAATTGTTATGCGGTGTTTCCTAGTCTTAAAAGGAAAAGGAAATTTGCAATTAAAATGACTGGATGTTTTTGTAATGCATGCTGATTACTTAAAGCATTGCTTAAAGCCTGTTAAATGAGGCTTAACATGTGAAAGAACCTGCAATCTGAAGTAATTAGCCTTTCCTTTGAGGTGAGGGTTGTTGCTACACTGCAGTTCAATCCACAGTTGCTGGGGATGCTGGTGAAGGAGTAAAACTGTCTCTGACCAGACAAGAGGAGGAGAGTTGTGCAGCTACATTTGGATTGCAAAGCAGTCTTGTATCTAAAACTCTGACGTGACCTATGGCTCTGTGAGCTGAGGACTTTCTTTTGAGCCTCCAGGTCAGAAGGGATGTAGAAAAACTGGAAGAGGTTGAAAAGCTGCCAAAATTGTAGGTGTTGAAGAGCTTGTGGAGCTGGGAGAGGATGTGGCTACTGGTAATTGGCCTGAAATGTGGGTAGAAAATAGTTGAATACTTCCAACAACCTGAGAGCAAACTCTTCATGGTGGTGCCAGATGATGGAACAAGGGACAGTGGTTAGAAACCACAACTTGGGAGATACGGATTGGACACAAGGGAAGATTTTTGATAGTCCAAATTTTGGGAATGGACTATAAAATATTTACCCTATCTTAAATACAGTCTAGGATTTTCCTTGTTTTTCAAGTATACTGCTCTTTTGTGCTGTGAAGACATAACATGGAAGGAATAAAGAAAACAATAATGTATGACTTCATTGTGGGAATTTGCCATCTGTACCACAGCAAGTGTTTTGGGAAAGAATTCCCTTTTAATCTTTTTTTCATGTGTCTGGTCCTGAATTGCTTAAGAAAGGAGGAAATTTTCCTCAAGCCAAAGTACCAAGAGCTGCAGTGCTTTTGCCAGAGCCTACTTAGGCTTATCAGACATTGAGGAAACCTGCACTAAGCCAGACTGGTGGTGGTATTTTTTTTTTCCATAGGTATATTTTAAAACCTACTCATATCAGTAATGACAAGCTCCAGTTTGGTGTGAAAACGGCTTGTGAAAACAACTTGTAATAGATGCCTCAGTGATCCACAGTGAAGAGACCACAGGGCAACTGAGGGCTGAGAACCTACCAACTCCCAAGCAGCAGTGAGGCTGTACTGGGATGTGCTACATTTGATACCTGGGAGAAGGTGCCAAAGGCACAAACCCCCAGGTTTCAGGGCACAGGCCACCTCTGCAGCACTGACACCGAGCCTCTCTTCTGGGCAGATGTGGCAAGGATAACACTTCCCTTGATATAATTGGCACGACTGCTGTTATAGGTGCTAATCAACTAGATGGGCTGGGCTAATCCAGCCTAATTGCTTGTGTGCACACTGGGCTCCTTACTCATGCTCAGGGAGGTGTGTGCTGAGGAGCCAAGCTGCCCGGTTCCTCTGTTGGCACTTGTCTTGCTTGAAGGATTTTTCTTTCATTGATTCATCTCTTGAACACTGACGTGCTTATATTTCTGGCCTTACTTGTTGCCTTCTTAACTTCTGGCTGTACTAGTTTCCTTCATGGTTTTATAGTAATTTTTTTGCCTTGCCCAGCTGATGACGTTTTTACAAGCTACAGGGTTGTACTCAATTTACTTTCTTCAGTAGGAAACTGTCTGGTAGCTGGATCATTTTTCTTGTCCTTTTCTGACATTTTAATTTTAATTTTTTTTTTAAAGATAAGAAATGCATGTTTGATATGTGGGTGTTGGTTCTCTGTTCCTTCCCCAATAACTGCTAACCCTGTGCTTACCTTAATAGCTTTTGGGCACTCAGCTGGTTTAATAAATAAATATCCATCGTTATTTCAGTATCACTTTCCTGAGGGGTGAACCTAGGGCCCTTTTTGGTTTTCCTCTGTGAATTAGCATACACTTACTGAAACTGCCCTTCATCTATGCCATTTAACTTCCTGGGCAGTTGTCACTGAAATCCTTGCAGTGGTTTTTGGGTCTGAATGCTTCTTTTCCATGCACTTGAACCCACCACTTCTCTGGCAGACTTGCTGTTCTGTGATATGACTCTTGTCCTTTGCAAGTTGCACCTCAAAGCTGACTTGTTTCACAGTCCATTTATCACTTAAGTGAATATTACTTCTTTTTTAGTAAAATTCCTTTTTTTTATTTTGTAGTCTGCTTTGCTCTTCACATTTTCACTTGCTGTTCTTAGTGAATAGTAGAGCGCTGCCAATGAACGTTCAGCGCTTTGACAGCCTGTTTCATGTGCTGCTCTGGCTGCTGCTTGTCAAGGCTCTTTTTTATGCATTTCCCCCCTTTTCTGAAGGTGAATAGTCATGTGTTGAAAGAATAAAGCTTAAAATCCTCCAAAAATGCTGAATTGAACACGCTGCAGCCAGTATCAGAAGATTGTTTTGTAGCCTAGTCCTGTGCACTGTTCAGATTAAATCCCGTTGTGTGATTTCCAGCTGACTGATTTGGGAATCATTTGTGTTATTTTGAGGATTTAATGCCTGCATGATGCCTCTGAGAAGACTGGTAAATAAATACTAGGTGGGAGAACTGATCTCCCTCTAATACTATTTTCTGCTTTTGTAGTAATATTGTAAATGTCCAGGTACTACACTGGAGTGCCCAGACATGTTGTCAGAGGCAGGAGTGGAGGCACTGCTGCAGAGATTCCCTGTGCTTAGAACACATGGTTGCAGCTCTGGCAAATATTTTGCTCCCTTCCAGCTGTTCCTAGACAGCAGAAGTGGGATGGACTAGGTTGCTGGCCAGCTGTACCTGCTGTGGGAATGCTTTCAAAGCCCAGAGCGTTGTCTGGCTCATTCAGGCAATGCTGTTAATACCAACTTCTACAGAAACTCCCTTCTGTCATCAACCCAAATGCAGCAGATTAAAAATGAACCAGCTTGATTCCTGGGCAAGGCATTTGTGATTTAACACTGAGGGAGGCATGTTCTGTCAGTGTGGTGAAGCCATGGAGTGACATGTCTGCAGGTCTTCCAGGAACCCCCAAATTCGGGTGTTGATGCAGGATTTCTGTGTCACTGGGCACTAGGTGTTTGTCTGCAAAGCCCCTTGGAACAGACCCTGGTGGCATTAGTGACTCCTGAGGTTCTACATCTCTTACAGCATGTGCCGTCACTTAATGTCAGCTCTAAGTCATCTTATCATGAGTTTTGGAATAAATTTCTCAAAAAAAGAGTGTTTTGACCTTTTTTCCCCCCCCTTCTCTTTCCACAGGCTGATGAAGATCCTATCATGGGGTTCCACCAGATATTTCTATTAAAGAACATCAACGATGCCTGGGTTTGCACCAATGACATGTTCAGGCTAGCATTGCACAACTTTGGCTGAGCTGCCCAGCCCGAGGCTCCCGTGCTTTTTTTTTTTTGTTTTGTTTTTGTTTTCCTCCTCTCCTCCTAACTGGTATTATTCACACTCACGGAACATTCCAAATATCATACACAAACCTGCAGCACTGCAGAGCGTGAGCAAGCAAGACTTGTGACCTGCCCTTCTGCTGAGTTTACATTGTCACTAGATGAGTTTCTTGTGCATGATGTTTGGAAGTTAGACTTAGCTGCATTTGATAAAGAGAAATTTTGTGTTGTACCAGCATGCCTCGGAAAGAATTTATAATGCAAAAGGTTGTTGTTTATGTACTGACAAGATGCTCTTATAACCCAAAGAAATGAAAGAACAGCAGCCTGTACAGCCCAGTTATTGATTTGTTCAGATGTTTCAATGCTACGTTACACAATAAAACAGAGATTTTCTTAAAAGTTTAAATTGTTTTAATGAGTTGGCTATGGACTGTGAGTTGGCTATGGAGTGTGTGGTGCTGCTGGCTGTGGATATCCTGTGTCCGCCTGGTGGGGAGATGCTTGCAGACTGAACCTGGAGCTGAACAATGCCTGGAGCTTTACCAGAGACTGCAGGCAGGTCATACACCTTTTCACCTCCCTGTCAGCACTTTTCACAACGGAGACTTCTAGCTCAGCGTTGAACAGCGACTGGTCACTTCTCAGCTGTTGCATGCCAGCAAAGCAAACGCCTCCAGTAAGGCAGGGGGCTGACAGCAGTCCCGGCAGCCCGCAGTCAGCCTTCACGCCGTGTTTCCTCCGCCGGAGTCAGCCCCGTGCTGCCCTCCCGGCGTTCGTGCCCGGCCCCGCAGCCCTGGGCAGGCTGTGCTCTGTGCCCTGGGGCTGGGCCGTGCCCGGTGTGTGCAGCGCTGCTCTCGGGGGGCTGGGCCGTGTCCCCGAGCGGCGGCGGCGGCGGCTCCCGGCCCGCGGGGAGGGCGGGAGAGCCCCGGGCCGGCCCCGCCCCGCCGCGCCGGGAACGCTCGGCTCGGGCGGCGGTTTCCGCCCGGCGCTTTCAGGGCCGGGCCGGAGGCGGAAGCGCGGGCGGCGGGGCCGGGCCGGGCAGCGCGGTGTCGGCGGCGCGGGCGGGCGGCGCGCCGGGCCCCATGGCCTCCTGCTCCAGCATCGACATCGAGGACGCCACGCAGCACCTGCGGGACATCCTCAAGCTGGACCGGCCGGCAGGTGAGGGCCGGCGCCGGGGCAGCGCCGGAGGCCGCCGGGCCGGGCCGGGCCGGGCCTGGTCACGGGCCGGGCCGCGGGACCCCCTGGGCCGTTGCGCCGCTGCCCCGCCGGTTGTCACCGGGCGCTCTGGGGCCGGGCACGGCCCGCTTCTCCGCGGCGCCCTGGCGGCGGCCGCTCCTGCCAGCCCGGGGCCGGTGGGGCGGGGCGGACCGGCCGGTGAGGAGAGGAGAGGAGCGGAGCCGAGCCCCCTCCGGCCCGGGGACCCCGCCTGCGACAGGGGTGTTGGCGCTGGGCAGAGCGGGAGCGGGGCGGACCCAGAGCTCGCTGCTGGCGGGTGTCTGGGCGCCTTTCGGCAGGGAGATGCTGCTACTGGGAGCTGAACAACACCGACCTCTGCTGAGACGCAAATCCCCCCGTTCCTGGGAGTGCTTGAAGTGTTCCCCAGGGGGGCTGGGCTCAGTGGAAGGGGCTGTCAGGCTGCTCTGAGATCAGTGCCGTGTTCACCTTTACACAGACTTTTCCCTCTCCTTAGTTTTGTGTGAAATGGGATCACAAATATCTTTCTTCAAGTGGTTGTGAGTCCTCTCCCAGTGCTTTGAGCTGTTATACATCTCTGTTCAGAGTCCAGTGGACCCCTTCAGCCTGTAAGAACATCAGCAGCAGGCTCAGGAGTCAGCAGTGTGGTGTTCCCCTCTCCTGTAGCCTAAGCTCTCTTTCAAGCCTCTCATTGCTTTTGGAACCTACCACAGTGTTTCAGTCAGACCTGGTCAGGAAGAGGCCCAGACCATGAGTGCTCTGCAAAAAAATCTTAGCCTCTGGGTAGAGGAAAGAATTTATACCCCTGTTGGGCTCCTGTGGAGGGAAAGGCAGGAATAATGTAGCTTTTAAGTATCCTGATAGTCATTAGGAATATGCTACATCCAAAACAACTGCCATGTGTTCTGCCTTATGCTTGACCAAGAGGAGAGGCTGGGTGTGGGATTGTTGTGGGAGAGCTGCAGAGGCACGTGGAATGATGGAGCAAGCCTGGAGTAAGGTGGCTTCATTAGCTTTACTACCCATAGAGAAACTTCTCATTACTTGGAGTAATTTCTGTTGTTTCTGGAGTGCTTGAATGTTCCTGGATTATAATTCTTGCAAGAAAAATACATTTTTCCCTCACAGTGCAGCACTCTGTGCTTGTAAGACTGAAAGGAGAACTCCGTGTGGGGATGGGGAACAACTTTTTTCACTTTCTGAACTGAAAGGATGTGTCACTGTTGGGAAATGATTGTAGTTGTTGCTGAAAAGTGACTTGACTTTCTCTGAAAGAAGCTTCTCCTGCTGGCAGAAGCCAAGGAGTTGACAGAATACGGTTGTATTTCTTTTCTTCTTCCCTATTCATTCTCTTTATACCTTCTCTGTCATCTCCAGTGCACTAAGAAGGCAGTTGAGAGGAAAAGGAACAAATGGGCAGAAAGTCCACAGAAGGAACCTGTGCTGGTTCTCAGCAGGAATCAGTGCCTGGCTAATGGCAAATAAACTCAAAAGAACTGACGTAATAAGGTGAAGGGGATGGACACATGTGTTAACTGAAAGCCTCTGGAACTCTTCTTAGGAAGTCAGAGGAAAGGGACAGTGTGGGATCCTTCAAGGCTTGTGAAGGAAAATAAAAGCAGCCTCAGGAATCCCATGTGTAGGGTTAATCTTACCTGGCATGAAGTTGCTGTGGTCAAGGCCCTCTCTGGTTCCAGTTGCTGTTATACCCTGGGTTTCACTTTCAGATTTTAGTGCCCACTGGACACTGGTGTAGCTGTTTCCCAAGGCTGAAGGAAGTTTTGCAGTACTGAGTGCATGTAGCTGTGAGCAGAATTATGTTACTCTGGGTCCTGTCCAGACGGGTGACAAGAAACACTCTCTGCTCTAAAGAGTTTACAACTGCCACGATACTTTTTAGATTCTGCTGGGTTTGGTGATTGTGAAAATGTTATTTGCATTTGCTACCCCAGTCTCTTTTGACACAGTTTCTTCACAGTTTTGGCAAACATCACCTATTGCTTTGTAGCCCTTGCCCTTTTTCATGCTGTGCCCTCAGCAAGGGGCAGCTTCATGGTCAAACCATGGACCTCCCTCTGGAGCATGGAGACAGGCTGTCAGTGCCAGCATGCTGTGGAGGAACATCCCTGCTGGAGATTGGCAGGATCCTTCAATCCACACAGAAATCTCTGCTGATAACAGATGTGGGCTCACCCTGCTCGTGGTGTTTATCAGGGAAGTGTTCTGTTCAGTACAAACTGGCATCCCATGGTGCAGGTGATGGTGGGAGGAGGACAAGTTCAATGTCTCATCTCTGACTGCTCCTGCTCTTTGGAAAGGTAATGAGTAAAAACACTCTTCTTTCCCTTTTCAGGCCTAGATCTACCAGTCTGTGTTAACCTTTTGGCTTTGTTCGTGTTCTTACTAAAAGCTGAGCCTCTTCCCTTCTTCTATGCCTCCAGGACTGTGTGCAGGCAGCACCTGTGCTTGAGCTAAGCCCAGTCCTGACCTTGAGTGTTGTGCCCATCAGCCTCTGGGAAGTGTTTCCTCCTTCCTTTTTTCCGTGGAGTGAACGTCACTGTCCCGCTGTCCATAAAGGAGCAGCGATGCACACGTGGAGCGTTCCTGTGGCTGCAAACAGAGCAAAGAATGTATCGTCTTTCTCTGGCAGCCTGGGTGCGTTTCCTGTAGGGAATGTTTTCCTGCTTTTGGTCACAAAGGATAAAGCACTGTCAGTGGAAGTAGCCACAGCTGGGCAAGCACCCTCCATGCGCTGTAGGAATAAGGGGCACATCTCAATCTTGCAACAGCAAGCGCAGCACCAGTGTTACTGTCAGTGGAAGTAGCCACAGCTGGGCAAGCACCCTCCATGCGCTGTAGGAATAAGGGGCACATCTCAATCTTGCAACAGCAAGCGCAGCACCAGTGTTAGGTGGTCACAGGACCACGTTCCTTGGCCTGAATTTCCTTGTTCTGTGTGAGTGCCACTGCTTTCTCTTCATGCAGTGCAGGTACACTGAGGTGAGTGCCCAAATGGTCCCTGCATCGGGATACCCTGTCACTGCACAGGCTTTTTGTGTCCATGGCATAGTTGATGTAATGACTGGTCATAAACAAGCAAGTTTTAAATGTTCTTCTCCAAATTAATAGTGTCAGTTGTTTTTTGGGCAGCAATGCTCCCCCTGATCTGCTAAAGCCTGTTCAGGAACTGAAAGCTTGCCTTGCTTTCAAAGGACAGCCCCTTGCCCACGGTTGTGTTTAGGTTAGTTACGTGTGCCAGTGACAGTGGAGCTGCTGGTCCTGGGAGCAGCCATTTTGCAGGAGCTCAGCAGCACTTGTTACCTGGCAACAGTATACGAAATTTCGGTTTTCCATACCAGTGAAAATTTCTGGCAAGGATTTGCTGAGACAGGCGGCTTTGCCTGGGGTGTGCTGATGTGTAAGAGCAGAGGCAGGGGGCTCCTCGGCTATTTACCCTGCTAGTGAAGTAGAAGAGTCTCCTTCACCCCCTGTTGCAACTGTCCCCTTCTAAAGCCACCAGGCAACTTGTGCCAGGCCAGATGCACGAAGTCAGGGCACAAACACTCTTCAAAGCACAGCTGAAGCTCTGAACAAATGGTTGCTTTACACAAAACTTGAGTGCTGTAAACTTCCATGTGATTGTTCGACAAAGAGAAAAATATGGCAATCCTGTAGGCACAACTGCACAGTTTCGTAGCAAAGTTACTTGAACAGCTGGACTTTGAGGTCAGTTCTCACAGTCAGAAGCAAGTTCTGGAAAGTAACAAATGTATTATTTCCAGCCAGCCCCAAATGTGGCAGCTGATCAGTGTATTGTTGGACTTCAGAGGTCTCTCTGCAGGCCTGAGGGTTAGAAGTGGCCTGTGAAGAACCTTTTGGTCTGGCCCTTGATTCAGTAAACCTGAATTACCAGCTTAGTCTTTTTGATCCAAGACTGTTTTCTCCTTGAGCCTGGTAAGTTCCTTGTACCTGTTCTTTGGTGTTTCTCTGATCTGCTGGGATTGCTTGTGTAAGGAAAGCTACGACTTCACTCAGAAGTTTGGGGGTTTCTCACGTGGGAGGTCCCTTTCACATGGAGAATACTTTTCCCAACCAATTCAGTATATTCTAGCTGGCAGACCAGTAAGGGCTGACAAAAAGCAGCAGTGTTATTTCTTTTAAATGAGTGTTGGGCACAGCTGGTGATGCTTTTCCCCAGGTTCGGTGAAT